CTTCATGTTTATCTGTTTTTGGTGATAAATCATACTGTTTAACAGGAATGTGTATGTGATAATAGTAAAAAAATCTCTATAATGAAATTATAAATGTCTCATTTACGTAATTTGGGGGGAAATTTATTTTCCCTAAAATTCTGAAGTATTCATTTTACTTTAGCTTTCGAGTTAAGAGTTGAATGCCAAATAGTCAAGCTTTTACTGTATTTCATTTTCTCTACTAGGCAATATATTTCATAAAGGAAAAAAATCTTAAGTTGCATTATAATATGAGGGCTATTTGAAAGACAAGTAAAATAAATGAAAAGAATTATTCTGTAAATATTGTGCTTATTATCATTTTATTCCAACTTCATCCAGCAGTGTTTTGAAGGCTGTTATGTCATTTTAAAAAATTAAGAATTGTCAAGTTGTTCATTGTCAAGCCCTTCAAAGTATCAATGACTTTATTATCATATTGAAATTTCTTTCCTTTGAGCATTTCTTGTAATTTGGGAATAAATGGAAACATGAGGGAATGAAGTTACTAATAAAGCTATATCTTGCAGCTGTTTGGATCTCAGGTCATGAATTAATTTTTATCTTTGCAATTATTGTTGTATTAACTGGTACATTGTACATTAACTCTCTTTTTGTAGAGACATGCTTATTTAGATTTTTTGTTGCCTAATGTCAAAATAAATTAGCATAATCACATAAATTTTGTGTTTATGACTTCTTCCTTGTATCTGAAAATTATTTCCTGCATATGTTTGATTTCAGTTTCCTACAAATGAAGAGGTGTTCAGTTGCTTGTGTGGGGAGTTCTCGATTTTCCCCAATTTATTTTATTTAAATTTCTATTTATATATTATTATTTCAATATGAAAGAAAAGTGGCTGTGTAGAGGAGGCATTCAAAATTTTCAAATGACCTATAATAGTTAAAGAATTTAAAATGGTTCATCAGCTACTTTTGGATGAACAGAAACACAGCGATTTTCCTAAGAAGTTGACTTCAGTTGAGATCCAATATGCCTTCTCTTGAATAACCTTGATTCAGATATGGATTGTCTTCCTTTTCTTCTTTTTTATATACTTTTTTGTATTTCTATTGTTTTGGGGATTTCTTCTGGTTTAAAGGCACTAAATTGATGGGGCCTTTTACGTTTTTTATTGGAAGATTTTTGGGATTGTACTGGTTTTAAATTTCGTTTCTTTCATGTCTTTGTGATATTAGTTTAAAATTTATTACTCTTTTTCAATAATTAATTAATATTTCAACAGCATTTTGTGCAGAAATGATTTGGGATATTTTTGGTGTAAAAAATGTGTGTAAGACTCGCATTAAGGTGTAGGGAGGAGGTTAAAAAAAAAAAAAAAAACTACAGTTTTGAAATCAGCATGCCTGTTTAACTCTAAAACAGCTCAAAAGTCAAACTGAACAGAAATTGTGTTAAAAGTTCTTCCCTAGGTTATTTTATGAACAGGGTTCTGTGTAAATAATAATTAGCATATAGTATCACCTTTACATTTTGAAGGAAAAAAAAGGAGAAGAAAAGCAAAAAGTAAATTTGTGATAAAATACTTTTAAACATTTAAAGACTGTTCACATTTTTCATTTTACAAGTATTCCAATGATATTCTGTTTAGAATTTAAATCATGTAATACTATATGTATCAGATTTACAGTTTTAAAAAATCAGGTTAAAATTTTGTACTTTTCCTTATATATTAGAATTTGCATGGTACAAACATAATGTGGTTTAAAAGACTAATTAAAAATTTTAAAGAGAAAGCTTAAGTTTTTGGAATATGTTAATGTAAAATTACAGTGTGATCAAATAGCAGTCAACATTCATATTTAAGGATTACTTATCAGAAATGATTAAATACTTTAAATCATTATTTATTTATTATTGAAAAATGCATTTGAGAAAGTAAAAATGTTTAGGGTCATTTTCACAGTAATGAAAATATCATCAGTTTTGAAGAAATTCCACAGTGTAATGAAGAAATAATCTGTCTAACATATAAACTGTAGTCTTAAGTTAATTATTCAAACTATTTCGCCGGTATAACTTTTTTCACTTGACTTTTAATTGGGGGGGAAGAGCAACAGAAATCATTTGACACTGTTGTTCTATATCATGGCTTATTTTATCTGTCTTTCTAAATTCCCAAATACTCTCTAATTATTCAGTCTGATTGAAATGATCTTAATCATGACCTTGGCTTAATAAAAAAGTAGTCTGAAATATTTGCATTAAATTTAAAGAGATGGAATCTCTTAAAAATGGATAGTTTTCATCAGAGATGGCAAGAATTAAAATTTAAACATATATTTAGTCAAAAGAATGATTTTGTGTATTGGAGTAACGTAGAATCCTTAAAAGGATTGTCCATAGAATCTTTGAAAAGTAGTTCTAATTTATAAGGAAAAGTGCTGTCTATCAATGCTCCTTGTTGATGCCACATACATTAAATAATCTCATAAAAATAATTTTTTTAAGCAGTATAGATTGTGTAAAGTACTTTTGGCATATATGTGAAGATTTGTAGTAATAGTTTTATTTCTTAGATTTAAATTTAATGTAAAAGATATTTTTACTTTTTGAGTGAATTGCATTCATTACATTAAAAATGTCTAACCTGAAACTGAGATATTAACTCCAGGAATAAGTTGTAGTTTTTCTCAGTCAGTAATATATCCTCACATAAAATATACTTTCTACTTGTTTGCATCAAATAAGATTTAATGAAAAACTTTGTCTATTAAATCTGTACAAACTTTGCCTTGTAAATTAGTTTATGTTAAAATAGATTTTACAGGAAGGCAATGGAAAGGTGAGAATATTCGTGTTCTAAAAACAAAGTTTACCAGAATTAAGGAAACCAAAATAAAGGTATTTTTTATTGGTTTTCAAATTAGAAAAGTTATGAATTATCGTTCTTTGAATTTCATGCATAAATCTTAAGCATAGTGATGAACTACTTAAGTAACCAAAAAGGAGAAAATTGAAACTAGACAGTTATAAATTAAGTTAACCCTGTTTGGTTACCTAATTAGTTAATTGATCAGTTAATGAAAAATGGGAAACTCACTGGACTGTTAGAAAGACAGATATTTTAGTTTTTACTCAGTGAGTAAGCAGCTGCATGGAGAACATTTATATGAGGATACGTGCACAGTGAAACTATATTACAAAGGAAAATGGGACCTCAAAATGGTAAACTGTTAAAAAAAAAGCATATAAACGGTGAAGTATTGAAATTTTAGTTTATAATTTTATTCTAAGGTCATTATTATTAATTTTAATGAATTATACATGTAAAATGAAAACATTTTTTGTTTAAAATTAGTTGCTTATAAATGTTTTCTAATAAGAAAAAAAATAGTAACTAAATTGGAAATCCGCATCCAAAATAATATAACACTCAGTAGTTTAAGTCCGTAACAAGCAAAATTGTATTTAGATTTAATAGAGTTTTTTTAAAGCAGAAGTATGATTTAAATTATGCCATAAAATAGATTGTTCTTTATTTATTGACTGGAATGGATGGCTAAAGTTAGTTACTTACATATTATTTAGGCTTCTTATCTATGACACATGTAAGTTACTTTGTAGTCTGCAAAGTGCTACAGCCATTTGTCTGAATGTTTAGGCCAGGGATTCCCAACTGTATGCCCACAGCACCAACCAATCATTTTAATGTGTGACTGCCACTGTGTGATCCCAATAAAAATGTTTGTTTTCAATAAAATTCTATATGAAGGTTTTTCTTATCTTTAATGAAATAGAAATTGCATCCAACACAGATACCAGCACAAAACGAAATGTGACCAATCTCTTTTCATATGTGCATGCATTATTAACTTTATTCAACTATAAATTAACCTTAGAAAAGTAAATGGTGCCCGTCGTCCAACAGATATTCTAGAATGTGCTCTTAGGAACAAAAAGGTTGGAGACCCCTGGTTTAGGCACAGTGACACTAAAAAAAAAAAGCTCTTGAAAGCTAAATAAATTTTATTTTCAAAGGTCACATTATAAAACATTTTTGATAATTATTTGAATATTGTATGTAATGAATGATGCATTGGAAGTCAGATAATTTTGTTGTTTTAATTAAATATTTGCTAATAATATTTGGCAAATTATATACAAACCACTGTCATTTTAAACGTTTTGAACAAAAAATACAGTCTGTCCTCTGAGGTTTTAAAATTTTTGTCTTCTATTTTAATATTGTAATGAAATAGTACATTTCACCATGCTGGTTAAATATATGTAAGTAATACAAATTTAACCTTTAAAATGAGTTAAATTTAATAACAGTGTGCTAACATTTAAAACTGTTGTCAACTTATTTTAGGTAACTTTATTTTTTGAAATATATCTAAAGAAATTTGAAAGTATTAAAAGTGCATATAAACTCACATTTTTTTATCTTAACTGTACACCAAATATATTGTTTGAGATATGTATGTCTATTAAGACAGAATGAGTAAAATGTGTTTTTTAACTTTTTAACTTTAAACTGTGTTGTCATAACTTTCCTTTTTGCTTCATTCTTGATGCATGTGTAACATGATTATAAAAGAAATGACAATGAATAAAAAATCATTCAGACACTTAAAAAAACTTATTATATAATGTCAAATAAATTTTAATGCATGAAATTCTGTCAGCCCTTTGTGTTCTTCAAAGTGAATATGAAAGTGATATATGAAATTTCTTGTAATTTATATAATAATATTTAACTTCCAAGCAAAAAAAATAAATTATGCATATTTGCTGATTTCAATTCAATATTGTAGAATCCTTCCATGTGTTTTTATAAGTAGTACTTTTTTTTTTTTTTTTTGAAGAAAAAAGGTTTTTTGAATGTTTATCATGCTTATAAGCATAATTAGTCAATAATTCGATGATTATATCTTTTGCATTAATACTGGTTTTTTGATTGACTAAATTATTGCAGCACTAAAAGCATTTCATTATAAATTTTACCTTTTAGTCAATATTTCAATGTACAGATGAAGAAAAGATTAAAAATTTGACAGAAAATTTATCTAAAGAAGATGTAGCAGCAATTTTAAAGGAACTTCACTCACGACTTCTGCAAAATCAAAGGTAAAATAATATGTATGTTATATAGTTTTGAAACAGAGTATAACAGATAATTAGTACATGTATAGTTTTGAATTAGAATATAATAGTTATATAAAAAAGCTTCTTATACTTTTTGTCACTAGAATTTATATGATATAATATTTATCTTTTATTTCATGATATATCATAAAAACTAGGAACTAAATTCCGTACCTGCAGAAACTGAAGTTGACTTAAATTATACTTATGTAACATATAGGTGCTGCTCAATACTGATTACAATCATTATTTAAACTGCATGCAAATTTCATTCATATACAACTTTAGATTAGTGTCTTTCCTCTTCTTTGTGGAACATTTATCTTTTATCACTCCTTTTGTAGCTATTACACATTTTCCTTTCATATTCATCTCCTTTTAAAGTATATACATTATACAAGTATTTTACTTAGTCTGCCCAAAGACAAATTATGTTTTCCTTCTCATTATAAACAGAAAACAATGTGCTGTTTTCAAGTGACCTTATAAAATGTGCAATAGTGTGATATTCATAGTAAGGATGATTAATTGTGATACATATCTTGTGTGAGTATAAATGAAGTTATCTTTCTTCATTAACCAAGTAATACTCAAATTGTTACCATTTTCATTTACCTGATTTTGCTTTTGGCAATTTTCTTGTATTATGGTAAAATTTATATTATTGTGCTTTCAAACATAATTCTTAGAAAATTTTCTAAGGTGATTGATTAGATCAGAGAACATAGAATGAAGTGAGGTGACATCATGCCACTGTATTGTAGCCATGAGCCTGTGACCTTGCTGCTGTGCAGCAAAAAGAACATCAGTTTTATAATGTTCCTAGACTAAGACATACTGCCATGTAAGCAAAAAAAAAAAAAAAAAAAAAAATGGACTCTGAAAATTCAAAGAAATGACTTACAGCCTCATTTCTTATTACTTGAAGTAATGCAGTTATGCTGAATTCCAATCATTGACATAGCAGTTCTTGGCCTCAGCTTCTTGGAGAATGTGCATTCATATGTGTAGAACCATTAATTTGAGAAGTGATTTGAGTGAGTGTTTCAACTAGTGCGCTATGAAAAAATATAATGTGCTGTGTTTTATGCCTGTCTGTTTAAAAAGATTCATTACCTGTATAGAAAGCAACATTTAAGAAGTAATTGAACTTTTTTTTTTATAGGATCTTTGGTAATCTGAAATACCTTAGTGTGTCTAAATGCCATTTATCAATCAATTTCTGAAGAACATTACACACCCACTTTGTGTAATAAATAGTTTGGAATAATATATAAAATATATTTATCAACTTACTTCTATGATATGTATTATATCATGCAAATACTTATATTTTTATGATACTTATACAGTCCTTCATAGAGCACATTCTACGTTTTTTCTTATAATATTATTTAGTTTTATTGTTTATTTCCAAATTTAATTGATTTACTTTTATATTGATACTCCTATTTCTCTATATTAAAAATAAAATAGGAAATTTCTTAAAAAACATTAAAAAATAATTTTGGTGTAAAAATTTTATCAAAGATGGCTGTACAGTAAATTGAATACATATGTGTGAGGAATTTTTAATGTTTTCCAGTATTTTATTAGTCATTCTGCTATTGTTTATTCTTTAAAAGGCTAGTTTCTTCAGAAATGCTCCTGATTTTGAGTCTGGTAATACCTGTATAATATTTCTTTGAAGGCATCACAATTTTTGTTTTTCTCTACTTTGTAAGTATTGTTTTTACACAATACAAATTTTTTTCATTATTGTCAGATAAATTTTTAACTACTATCATTAACCATATTTTCATCACTCAAATCTTTATCATTCTCAACAAAATAATTATGTATTTTTCCCCATTATTCTTGTCTGGATTTGATAGATAGCTAAGTAAATCATCTCATTTAATCATATTTCTTACATTTAAACCTTCAAACGCAGACTTGTGGGTTAGCCTAAATCACATTCATAAAGGAACTCTAAATCATTAATTTTTTTAAAGTATTAAAGTACTATGTGTTATAAAATATAAAGGGTTCCAAAAGTTCAGGTCTGATGATCTCCTTTATAAATCTGCCACTGTAGATATTGTTTATAGTTATAATAAAACAGAATGGTATGAAACAAAATAAGCATTCATGCTTTGTAAAATACATGACATATAGATTGTCATTAATTTAATCATGACTACAACTATTTGAACAGATCAAGATACTGATAGGAATTGTGGGCGGGGTATGAATGGAGCAACAAAAATTGGGCTTAACAATCTCTATGAAATTAGAAAAAAATGTGACTTTTTTACTTATTACAATAGCATTAACAATTTTCAACAATTAGAAGATAAGTATTCTGTTAAAATGCATTGTTCAATGACTATGTCTGAAATAAAACATAAAGAAATTCAAAAATGTATATAAAAATTACTTTTGAAGATTTAAAAAAAAATTATTCCCTGAATTGTTATTATACTATTTTTTCCTTTAGAAAGTGCCACTATATCATTAAAAAATGATGGCGTAATACATGTTTATGTCATAAATGTGGTTAATGTAAATAAATATTCTGCATATTATGATATTAATTTTTACACTTTTAAATGTTCTTTCTCTTTCTTGAAGTAATAAAAGGTACTTAAATTACTTTTAGGCATCTTCCTGGTGTAAGAAAATGGATAAAATATATATTAGCTGCACATTTATTACATTTAAATACTGTAAGTAAATAAATTATATGAAATTTCCATTAGTTTACAATTAGTTTATAATATTGGATGTTTTCATTTGCTGTTTTTTTCTTTTGATTAATGATATATAACTGAGCAAAACTTTATTTAATTATGTTAACAGTATATAATTTGTTCTCATGCATCTCATAAATGTATTTATTTTTCAAATGTTCAAGCCCTTTTTAATGAGAACTTAAATTAAATACATTAATAAAACCACCCCCATGTTCAAAGCAACAAAGTGAAAAAAGCGAACAAAAATGTATTCATTCAAATTTATTAGAACTTCCGCAACATATAATGAAATGCATTATTAGATGTAAATGCAGAGAAAATAATTAATACATTAAATAATAGAAGTAAACGCAAACATTGAATTTGGGGAACCAGTTTAAAAAAAGCCCTTCTGTACAACAGCTTCAGGAGGATGCAAACTGTTGGTCATTTTACCTATAGTTGACTCAATGTAGTAATTTTGAAACAGTTTGCTGAGGTAGTATTTTTCCTGTTAATGCTGTTAAATAAGAAGCAAGTTGATACACAGTAACAGTACTTTAGCATTATGCTTCCAGACACAAAAAGCAGTCATCCTCACTAGGTGGAATCCTTCGTTGTTCAGTTGCTGGTCTTCATGATATTGATTCTTCTCTTTCACACTTAAGCAGAAAATGATGGAATAATTGACATTTAGTGTTCAGGTTATTTTCAGTTATCACTGGTTCCAATTTTAGAGGCTTTGTTAACTCCCATTTCTTGGTGTTACTCATATGCCATCTGTTTATTTTTTTAAATTTTGCTATTTCAATTTTCTGTCTGGAGACCACAATGCATAAATGCTGTACACAAAGTAAGCCATTTTTATACTTTACATGCTTCCGTGTTTAAAAAATGGAAGTATGCAAAATTTTTTCCTATGGAATAATTTATGTGCACATATTATCTGTTATATATGCAGATTTTCAGGCTACGCATTGTTTTTCACTATGTTAATATTTCCATTTGTTACTTAAATTTTGGTTACCAGTGTATAAAAACCGGTAACCCATTTAATGTATGTATGGGAAAACAATATGGTTGTGTGAAATTTTTCTCCCACATGTAAAGTACTAGTAAATTTTCCTATATTACCTTACACTAAATATATTCCTCTCTTAACAAGCAATCCTTATACGTTCTACATAACTAATGTCTTAATTAACAAATAATCAGGGGCGTGGCAAGAGGGGGCATCTGTCCTCGGGCGCAGAATCCAAGGGGCGCCAAACTGATGTTTCGACATTTTAGAATTAAATGTTTTCCATCCTTGGCAAGCAGTAGGGGGCGTGAAATCTTCAGTTGTCCCTGGACGCTGAAAACCCTAGCTACGACTCTGCAAATAATGAACACTAAATTTAAAAATGAGGATACTGCACAGCATTTTATTGCATCTTTATAATTTTAACTTACTCTGCATGGATTTAAAGTTTCCTTACATAATAAAAAATTCTGCAATGTCTTCTGAAACTTATGGTTACTAGAGCAATTATATGTATAATTCTAAGTTTATTATTATTAAAAGAAAAATCATTCATGAACGATTTTTCTATTCTATAAAATTCTACTGCTGTCACAGAAGCAGTAGAATTTTAGATAGATATTAATGATAGATATGTTTTAACATGAGTAATAGAGCTACAACAAGGAAATATATAAAGGCATGAGGAATTAATATAGATCTAGGCTATTACTTAATATGAAATTTACATAGAAAAAATCTGCATTAAAAATGCCATCTAAAGTACTGAATGAAAATATTTAAATTAATTTCCAAAAATCATTTATTTTTATGAAATCAAAAGGAAAGTATAATTTTTCTAATGGAATCATATTGTGAAGATATTTGGTAATAAGATAAACTAGATTAAAACTAAAATTCTAATATTGTTATCAAAAAGTTTAATTAGCTTAATTCCTGTAAAGTCCCTATATAACACTGTATTTTCTGAAAAAATAAAACTATTCCAAATTATATATATGTTTATATAAATTTATTAACTGAGCATTTATTCTTTTAGGGCACTCACTCATAATCCTAAAAATATATTTGCAGGTATTTATTTCCAGTATTCAGTGCATTCACTATAACAATTATTTTAGAAATTAATTAAATACTATTTTAGAAATTAATTAAATACTCATTTGATAAAATTTCACATATTTTCTTTATTCAATCCAGTATCTTCTTTCTGTCCTCATAGCAAACAGAATATTTTGATAAATTTCAATTTTTTTAAACTTTGTGATAACCAATTCAGAGCAAAATGAATTTGTATTGATTTCTCCAGAAAAATACTTGAGCTTACCTGAATAAATGAATTTAATCTTATCAGTAGATTAGCAGAGGTGCTAGGACCTCCAATAATCGTTATTCGGCATGTTATTTTAGCTCAGATTATCTGTAGATTATAGTGTCAATGAAGCCACAGAAATAAATTTTCATTAGCCGATTGTAATAATTTAACTATAGAACAATTGCTATAACTGAAATTAATGAATAATTTAATGCATTATGAAATCTTTTTGTTACTTTTTTTGTTAGCATTCCAGAATATACATTTTGGAATATTAGTTATATTACTTGATTATTTCGCTTAATATTTGTTTATTTTTCTTTTAGAACAAAGATCTTGCAGATATTTTACATTCTATTGAACAGTTAACTGATGCAAGGAGAACAAGTGAAACTCTTTCAAAAATGTCTACTTTAAAAGGTCTCCTAAGGATATATCAAACAAAGGTTGAAAATCTTTTAAATCATTTAGATGTAATAGTGTTTATTTGGTTCCATTCTAGTTCCGTAAGCATAACCTAGACCATCAATCATTACTTCTTTGTACGAAGTAAAGGAAGTATTGTAATCACAAAATATTCCAGGTACCATATTTCAATGAAAATATCCATTTTGACCACTATCAAATGCAATTTAACTATGTTTTTCCATGACATCTGTGCCTAAGGACAGAATAAAGGACTCTTTTTCCCAAAAAAAATTATAAAACTGATTTAAAATGGATTCAGAAGAGATCGGCGCGCAATGAACTGGAAGTTGATTTGTCAGCACCTTATCTTCAGGGCAGATGTTTTTATTTTATTCGGCTTATAATTCCTTGCTAAATGTAATATTTCATCTCGATGTATTCCGTCTTTTGATAGGATTTAAATCAAATTCCTCGTCATTATAAATATCACGAATACAAATCAAATAGTTTTCGGGTTGCACTTTTCTAATTTCGACTATGCGTAATGTATGCTTTACGCATGTGCGCGTTGAAAGAAATGTTTAATAAAGTAAACAAATATCAAGCTTTTTTTTTTTTTTTTTTTTTTTTTTTTTTTGTAAATTTTGATACCCTTTAGATCATAATTGCTCTTTATTTCATAAATTACGGTTTCATATTTTTAATTTTATAATTTCTGCATTCCATCTTACCAAATTTAAACTAATGATCTATAGTCCGGAAAAATCGATAATCTGGACGCCGAAGTCCTGACGAGTCCGGATGAAACACTTTTGACTGTATTATCTGCATGCTGCCAGAGGTGGCAATTACACGGTACGCATGCCAAACTTGACAGGTCACAAAAATTTCTTAGCATGCCAAAACGTTAAATGTATCAACAAAAATAAATAAAATAACTGGAAGACTATTCTTTGTATGTCCTGAAATGATGTTATAGTGGTTTGGTAGCATAAATGCCACCTTGCATATTTGACAACTTTGTACAGAGTGTTGTATGATTGGCTGTTAGTATTTCTGCTAAGGCTGGTACAGCAATGTTATGTTTTGCATTTTAAGGTGGTGTGTTTGCTGAAATAGAATTTTTTTTTAGAAATTTCAGAGAAATATCAGGAAAAGTTGATCAAATCATAAATTTTATAGTTGTATGTGACATGCATAAAGGACAAGCTTTTAAATGGTGTTGACTGTGCGTGTGATACTCTTTTAGTATGAAAGAATGTATATTGGCTAGGCTAGGCCCCCATCTTTAGAAAGATCTTCGAATTACCTGGAAGAAATACACCTTTTTTATATCATTTGAATAGGGATGATTTGAAAAAAATCTAATACAGGATGGTTGACAAAATTATATTTTTCATGGACATATTATTTGTGCATTTAAATTATCTTAATAAAAAGTTAGAAGGTAGTGGAAAAACAGTTAAGATTACTTTTGGAGTACTAAGAGAATCTGAATGTAAATAAGAAATTTTTGCTAGAGGTATTGAATCTGAAAACCTTAATAATTTTCAAAAACTTAAACCTTTTTTTGGATAAAACATTAACAAAAATTAATTAGAATTTAAAAACTATAAAGCTTCAAATATTCTTTATTCTATTAAAGAACAATTTTCAAATAGATTTAAAGATTTCAAAAGAATTAAAAGGCTACAGAAAACTGTAAATAATCCAAACTTATTTGGCATAAAGGATTTAACTGGACTTTTCCCAACCTCATTAACAGGATGGACTTAGAAAATTTACAAATGCAGACTGTAGATCTGCAGTATTATCTTATTTGGACACAAAAATTTATAGATATGCAAAAACTATAAAAAAAAAAAAAAAACTGGAGTTTATTGAAGGTATAGAAAGCTGAAATTTCACATTGAAAACTCAATACTAGAAGTGTGGAATATGCCTTTGCTTTAAAATTAGTAATCAGATTGTTAAGCATTTTTTCATCCACTTACTCTTGCGAGTCTTTTCTCTGTATTAAATCATGTACTGTCTAAGGACAGACTGGCAGTGGAAGACTCAGCAGCATATATTACATTGCAAGTAACATACTTTTTTTATCCATATCTTGAAATAATTAGGATATGATATTGTACAAATTTTTCTTTTTTTTAAGTAATTTATATATTGCTTTTATAGGCCATTTCACAAGAATTAAATTTTCCCAGTGATGTCGAAGATATGGAAACCTGAAAGTGATATAATTATACAATTTGTATATTAAATTATAAATAAATTATTTTTAAAGGAAATTGTTTGCATTTTTTTTCTTTCATGTTCTCATTCATATATGCATTCTTTCATGCACGAATGATTTCTACACCTAATTGTAATATTTAGGTAAAAATAATCAGAAAAATTTTAAAACATTTACACAAACTACTACTGTACATTCTTTTATTTTTCTAAATACAATTTTATCAAAATGTTTACAAATTTATTAAATTCATTATAAAAGTATTGCACATGAATTACATTACATATATAAAATATGTATAATAAATAACAAAATCCAAATTCTTATATTTATTCAACAAAAAATATAATCCCAATATTAATGGACGGTAAAGATTATCATTTAAGATAAATTTTTAATACTTTTTATAAGCTGTGTTAATTTTTTATACATAATATCTCTCAGATATTTTTTACCATAGAAATTGAAACTAATTTCAGTACCGGAAGGAGTAGTGCCATTTACAACAGGTTTCTTTACAAATTTTATGGTGCATGTATTTGTATTTTGGCAAGGAGCATGTTCCAATTCTATTAATATGATCTGATTTACTTGAGGTGCTTTTCTGAATAAAACACTTGGAGCATATAATGTTACTTGAGGTCCCACTATTGGCCAATAACGTCCAAGATTAAAAGAGTTAAGAAAAGCCACACCCTAAAAGTACAAGCATTTATTAATAACATATCAAACTATATAAAATAGAGCATTAAAATATATATTGTTTGTTAAAAATAATGTTTAATTTGTAAATGTGTCTGTAGCAATAACAAAAGCTAAAAAATATTAGATTTTTAAATTTTCTATTCATTATGTATATACATTGAAGTTTTTTGTAAAATAATTCCATTACAGGGTTTTCTGCAAATTTAAGGAATGTAAAATTTTTATAATATGCAAAGCATTATATGTATCTTCTAAATTTAACTCCACATACTCTCGAGGCTCTCCACGCTACAACTCGCGATGCAGTCAACGACACATGAGCACAGCTCCCGACTCTTTGGTTCAGTCATTCCCAGAGCTCAATACGCTCTCTCGACGATGCACTAACTGCAATACACTAAAAGACTCTTTGATGTATTCGACGACCAACTCGGCGCTAGACTTTGAGACACTCACTCAATGACTGACTATCAGCTCGCTAGACAAGGCACACACATACACTGACTGCGGACCAACAGGGTTTATATAGCTTTCGGCTCCAAATGTGGCAACCTTGTTTTCACTTGCCACTTTATGGGAACCCTAAAATTTGCTTTGCGGAGAAGCTATTTTACCACGCCTGGACATTTCGTAACAATAATAAGGTCTGAATATTGAAAGACTATCACTGCGCCAGATGGGGGTTTTGAAACGCTAAGCCTAATTTTAGAAAAAAAAATCAGAAAAAAAAGTTTCTGTTCTAGCATCATAATTTTTGGAACCATTTTAGATTATTACTTGAGCTCTTATATATGTTAAAATTAGCATTTAATATCCTTTTTTTCTTTATTTTACATGAAAGTATATTTAAAAAATTCGTTATCTTGTAAAATAATTTTCGGAAGCTCTGTTCAATTTATTCCAAAGTTTTAATTGACAAGAATCATTATTAAAGTTTAAAATTAATAAAACAATACAATAAAGACTATTTACAGTAAGAAGTAACAAAATTTAAAATGAAGAGTGAGTGTGAAAAGTCTCGAAACACGGAGAAATGCAAATTCTTACATTGCACGTTCCACAAGCATAATATGCCTGTTTCTTTTTTCTTTGTTTTAGCACTGTTTGTGAACACATTATGCACCTTCTTTGGGTTTTTTCACCCTTCTCGTTCATACAAAGTGTACGAAAATGGCTACCAGATAATCGGATAGATGCTGGTACAACAAACTGCTTTTCTTCTCGATAATTTCCATAGTTCTCGAACATTTGCTCAATCAGTTGCATTTTAAATTGGAGAAATGGCGTTTTAATGCCATGTTTTTTGTCAAAAAGAATGTTTGAGTTCAATATTGTTATATCCATCAATCCCAAAAACAATTTCTTGTACCATTTAATTGATTTATGAAAACATGAATAGTGTATCATAACTGCGTCTCCTATGTCTACACCACCCACGTTTTTGTTATAATCAATGATGCATTTAGATTTTAAAATGTCTTCTCCAGTAATTCTATCTTTTCTGCCCGATTTAGCCATTTTTGGTCCATGTATGCTCGTTAGCATAAAAACAACTTTTTTTTTCCCCCTTTGAATGCAATGATGTTTGTTTTGCTGCATTACTTCCAATTCACCCTTTAGTTTTTTTCCTGGAAACTCGTTAGGTATTCTTTTTTTGTGTTTTTAATATTGTTCCACAAACATTCGTTTTTACAGAATAAAAATATTATGCAAGAGATGGGGAACTGAAGAAGCGATCTAAATATAAATTATACCCTTTCTCACATAAGTCACTCATCAATGTCTTCACTACTTCTGTTAAGCATTCCATTTCTGTTCCATTGCTCTTAACATTCCTGTGTCCTTCCTGCAGTATTTAAAAAAATTCCATACATAACCGATAACTGATTCGCATAATTTAAATATTTTTATGCCGTAGCGCGATCTTTTGCATCGAACATACTGTCGAAAGCCAAGACGTCCTTTCCAAGCAAAAAGGGATTTATCTATGCAAATATTTTCCTCGGCTATGTAGCTTTTTTGAAATTAATTTTTTTAGTTTTTCTATGATTAGTCCTAGTTTTCCCAACTTTTTAGTGCTCTTGTCTGCGGTAAAATGCAAAAATTTAAAAATATTAAGGAATGTATTTCTAGGCATAATTCAGAATATATACAAACTGAAGGTCAGGAAACTAAAACTGTGTTCAGTTCAAAAGTAATGGACCTAGGGTGTCATCTAGTGGTTTTCAAAAAAATGTTCCAGCTTAAAATGCATATTTGCATTGCCCGTCCCCTAAAATCAATCTCTAGTGATGCATGGATGGGACGCCCGGCTGTGAGAGTCGTTTTTAGAGAATGCGTATATGGGATGCCCATCCGGAAAGGGTTAAGAAATTTGTATTCCATCTTGTGTTTGCATAGTGCTGAAGAGATGAAAAGTCTATAGCTATATCATCAAGCAGCAGAAACCAATACTGAGTACTGTTCCAATGTGCCTGTCTGGGGTGTGTGCCATCCTGGTTATGGGTGTAGTCATGATTCTCTTCAGTGTGGTGTGGCAATTTCATACAAGAAACCTTGGCATGGAATAAAGCTGTTGAAGACAACCAGAAGTGGAATCTAGCAGAGTGTTCTGAACAGCAGTTACTAGAAAGCAACACATGGCATTGTTGCAGCCAGATATCTGCTGACCTAAATGAATTGTTAAAATTAACTCTGTAAATTGTTCCTTAATAAGTTAACTCTGCTGACATAATGCAGCAATTTATACCAATCAAGTAAATCACCTGTTACACATCTTATGTTTTTTCTCACACGTCATAAGCTGACATGCCATGTTCATCTATTTTGTTAAGCTCAAGGAAAGCAACCATTAAAACTTATGTTTCACTTACATCACACATATATTACTTTGGTAGGCAACCACATTCTCTAATAAATATTACTCTCGACACTTAAAAACCAAACAACAACCTTCATGAATATGAGAGAATATTTACTCTAATGTACAATATATTTTACATTATTTAATTTAGCAGTATAATTTGTAATGTACTGTCTTATTACATTTGATGTTATAAATATTAATATTTAAAAATTAGACATAACCACAGTTATGTGTGTTACACGAATATCTTCTTTTATCTACTGTTTACTACACACACATACTGGCCAATGAATTAGAAACCTTTCGAATTTTCATTTGGATGCATGCTAGGGATGAAGTATGCAATTTTTATTTTTTATTTATTTATTTATTTTTTTAATGATGTGGGTTACACGTGGTTAGAATGCTAGTATAAGTAACATGTAAGAGTGCTGCTTTTTCACGATGAATGAAGTAAAAAGGGGAAAAACGACAGAGCTTTCACCGTTGAAAAAAGGCTCATTGTGAGTACCCATTTAGCAGAGGCCTCAATTTTGAAGACAGCAAATCTCACTGGGTTCTCAAAAGCAGCCATATCAAAGGATTTCAAAAGTTGGAATCAGAACCCACAGTCCTTCTCTAGAAGACGTAACTGCGGTTCAAGTACAGTTTTTCAAGAGAGGGATCAGCATCATCTTCAACAAACTGTACAGCAGAACAGAGACTCTACTGTGCTTCAATTGGCACAGATTGTCAACCAAGGCTCTTCCCAATGGATTTCAGCTCGAACCATGTGCAGAGGATAGGAATGCATAGTCGTGCAAGAATTCATTTGCAGTGGTGTCGGGAAAGAAGATACTGGACATCTGAGAATTGGAAACGGGTAATGTGGTCAGATGAATCACGCTACACTCTACTTTGCACTGGTAGAAGACATTGAATTTGGCGAGAACCCCATGAAGCTATGAATCCAGTTTGCCTTACTCGCATTGTGCAAAGGTCTGGTGGGAGTATCATGATATGGAGCATGCAAGTGGTGCCCTGGTGTTCCTGAAGGGTAAACAAACAGCCATGAAATACCTATACAGGCAGATCAAATAAATGCACCTTGCAATGTTGCATTTTTACCCTGATGGTGACGGACACTGTAATGCAACTATACAGTATGCCAGACGTGTTCAATATTGGTTTGCTGAACATCAGTCTGACTTCCAACACTTTCCCTGGCCACCACATAGCCCAGATCTTAATCCCATAGAAAATGTGCAGGATATGGTTGAAAGTCACATCTGACATCACTTTCCTCTTCCATCTAATTTACAAGATTTAAAAAGCTGCACAGCCCATGCATAGTATTCTGTGAAAGCAAATACACTCCAAAATCATGTAGACTCGATGTCCAAATGAATCAGAGTAGTTATCCGTGCAAAAGGTGGTCCAATAAAATATTGATCTTGGGTTTCTAATTCATTGGCCAGTGTGTCTTATCTCTGGTTTTACATATCCCTGCTACAACTTGGAACATATTACCCACAGATGTGGGGGTATCACTGTAAAGGGCAATTAGAACTCTATGTGACTTACGTTAACAATATTAATGCTATATTTTTCAGAAAAAGTATAATAAATATTATCTCTGACACCTATGAAAGTAACTCTAATAGGCAAAATATAATAATAATAATAATACGAGGAAGTACACACACACACACACACCACAAAAAAAAAAAAAAAATGATAAAAGTGTCTAAAAAAGGGGATTTTTTTTTTTAATCTTACGATGACTATAGTTTATCAGTTAACTGTTTCCTTAGTCTACCTTATCTTATGAATAATAGATTTAGAATTCTACTTACTTTGTGCCAGCCATCCAATCTAAGAAATGAGTCAAGAATTGTTTCATTTGGAAGAATGAATTCTCCTATGTATACAGAAGGCACAAAACTTTTATATTGTTCCAAAGTTGACTGTTTTATATACTTCATCAATGATAAAGACTCAGGACCTAATGGTAATGGTATCATTGTCCAATTAAGAAGAATCTGGGATCCCAAAGTCACATTTTGAAAGATTCCCTAATGAGAGAAATTTTATTTTAAATTTATTACAAAAAATAAATAAATATACTTAAATATGTATTATTTTCTCTCATAATAAGCAATATTAAATACAGTATTGAAATAATTATAATAAATAATGTAAACTGAAATTAGAACATATACGAGTTAAAATTTTGAAGTGTAATGCAATAATGAAAAAAAGTTTTATTATTAGTATGAAAAAATAATCAAAAAGCTGGAAAATGGATTTCTTAGCATAAAATTATTTCGTTAGTTGTGTTCTGACCGCTTTCGAATGCAATTTAACGATGTTTTTGCGTGATATCTGTACATAAGGACAGAATAAAAGACTCTTTTCCTCCAAAAAAATTATAAAACTGCTTTAAAATGAATTCTGAAGAGAATTTTTCATGGTGTCTGTACGAACGTACGTACGTACGTATCTCACATAACTCAAAAACGAGTAGCCTCAGAACGTCAAAATTTTGTATATAGGACTACTATAACATGTAGATGTGCACCTCGTATTTTGGTTGCAATCGGCCGTGCCAAACGTATATAAATATATTTATATATATATCCACTCTGTTACCCGGCTCAGCAATCTCAGTTTCTTTACTCTTATATGTTTGTAAATTGTACATTTTTGCTTTAACAATGATTGAATTATGTTGTTCTTGTCTTCCGGTTCAGGTTTTTATGCCTTTAGTAAATCTGTATGCAATATTTTTAGAGTTATCAACAATTTTAAAGTTGTTTAAGTGCCACTAAGCCTAATATAATTTTTTGAATCACTTTTTAAGTTCATTGCTTGTTTACATTTGAAACAGCAGATTAGTGAATTTGTTGCCAATCTAGAGAAACGTAGCTTCGCAACAACAAAGATAACGCCTTCATTTATTATTGCGAATTAAATCATGCTTAATCCTTTCTGGAATTTTTTCAAGGAAATAAGTGTTTAAGATTTACTTAATTTTTAATAATTAGTAATTTAATTTTTAATACAGATATTTTAAGCTTTAATGTATTTTTGCCTTGTCGCAAAGTGAGAACTGAATTAATTGAATGAGAAATACTCAATCGTCTGTGAAAAACTGTTTCTTTTTTTGTTTTGTTTGCTTAATTTCTTTTATACATCGTACTAGCTTTATTATAGTATTTGAAAAGAACATGTGGCAACGATTAGATAATTCTTTAAATGATATAAATTTTGTGCATTCTGAGTTATAATATGAACGAAATTTAATACTGTTAAGTGAACCTAGCGCCAGAGTGTCACTATGTTAAACAAATAGAGTGAATTTTATTTTCTTGTGGTTTATGAACTGTCGGCGAAGTAGATTTAATTAAATCCAATAAGTTTAAATGAAATGCAAGAAAAAAATGCGTATAATTTAATATTCCGTACAAGGAAGTCATGTGGTGTACACATCAGATTTTTATATAACGTTCCCCTGAATATGCTCAATTTTAGTAATAAATTATATAATTACTTATTTTTAAATATTTATTAGCATGTAATTCCTTAATTGAATACATTTGGCTTCAGTTTTCAATTTATGTATAATTAAGGAGGTAGCTCTAAGGAATATAAATTTATTGTATTTCAAAAAGGACTTTTTTTCTTTCTTAAATGTGTCATTTTTCATTTTCATATAAGAAAGTTAATGCTAACGGGCAATTTGTCATTAAACATAAGTCACGGGTACACTAATCAGCCATTCATATATAAAAATGATGATAACTTTTTAAAATCATTTAGATGTTTTTTAAAATGGCCAACAACATTTTTCAGAGCCTGCCAGTACATTTCGTGCATAATAGGCTTCATTTTAAATTCAAAAAACAACATTGAAAAAAATTGCAAGTTTTCTTTTAGACTCAAAAACTATAATGGAAAAACCATCATTAAAAATAAATACTATCAAGTTTTCAAAAATCTTTTCACCAGTAACAAAAATGCACTTTAAAGAGGAAATAAACACAAAATAATATTTCTGTTTCATTTATTTAAATTTCTTGAAAATGCACATCTATGTAGACATTTTTCTCAGCTGTGATGTTGATAAAAAATAAGAAAAATGGCAAATTAAATACAATAAACAATTTCTAACAACTCAATTTTGGAAAATGACCCACTTTTTTGGGGGGGGGACTTACATTTCTAGTTAGATGATAATAAGTTTAAAGAATAATAATAATGCACATATTTTCATTTTTTGTCACGCATTACAATATTATTGAAAACGAGCAAAAAAGCGCACAGTCAAAAATGTACTAATTTAAAATAGAACAGTGAGAAAGAAAAAGCATTTTAATAACTGATTTCAAGAAAATGTGTTCTTCTAAGGAAAATAATTTCTTTGCTTAATCAATTATGGAAAAGTATACAAGGACTATTTATAGAGAAAAGATATCATCACAGAGGACTTTTTAAGTTCATATTTGCATTCTGAATTGGGAAAATCATGAAAACATTCATCCATCTAACCCATCTGCTAGGATTTGGAAAAATAAATAAATAAAACATTTAGCAAGGGCAATTTTTAAAAGCACATAATTTATACAGTACTTAGTGTTTCATATACAACTTCTTGTTTTTATGTTACAATTGTTCATTATGAAACACAGTAATGCAAATCAGCTGTGAGGTTTTATATGTATGTGTGTATATACATATATTGGTAATAAAAAAACTTCCCCAACATATGAACTCCTAGCAGCCTATCCACTCAACCAATTGAAATGAAATTTCAGGTATTGTTATTTGAAGGTATGTACTTGAGATTGTGATGATTTAAAAAAAAATGAGCTCTCAGGGTTACAGTTACATTGAGAAATTTTTTAAAGGCAACACCCACTTTTTTCCTGCATAAATTGATCGGCACATTGAAAAACCATAAATGTCATTAGAATGATGCATATATGGCGAAAATTGCTGACATAAAACATTTGCAAAAGAGAGCACTGTAAAAGTCCAATGACAGTACAGAATAGATGTGCACTGAAGCCCTTTCCATAATTCCGAGGGATATAGTAGAAGAACCAATCGCTGAATTACATGTGCAAAGCACTGCTTGTTGTAATCCTTTAATAAGCAGTGTATAAGACTGTTTTTTCAATCAGGTGTTTTGACATGCTAACAAGATGGAAAGGGAAACGAGGTAAACTAATACAGCTGTTCAGGCAACAGGGTGTTGACTCTATGGTTCTTTTCCTTGTCATAGGTGATGAAGACAGCAGGTGGCTGCTGTGGGTATTATGGGCAGGTGAGACACATTTCTCTTTAACAGGAAACATAAAACTCCAAGAATTGCATTCACTGGGCTGACGAAAATGCTCACAATGTGGCACCAGTGCCTTTACACAAATCTAAGGTGACTGTGTGGTTTCAGCACTGCAAGCACATTTATTCTCGGTCTATACTTTTTTGAAGAAGTCATTTCCATAGGTATGAAAAAGTGCTCCATCACAAGTACTCGGTATACAACAAACAATGTTGCAGAAACATGTATTTCAGCATTGATGCAGCAAAATGTCATCAGTGCCATTGTATGGATGCAAGATGGTGCTCCTCAACATGTCACCAAATGTTCGGCAAGTGTTGCGAGAGCAATTTGGAATCCTCTCTCATAATTTTGCAGTTTCATGGCTACTGAAATCCCCAAACTTCACTCCGATGTATTTCTGGTTCTGAAGTCACCTGAAATCTAAGGTGTATACATCAAATCCATAAGTTTTGTCAGAACTGAAAGACGTCATACAATGTAAAGAAGTTGCACAAATTTCTGTTGCAACATTATGCTCATCATTATTGTCAACAATCACTCACATGCAATGCATTATTGTCTGCAAAGGTAAGCAAAATGGAAATTTGTAATTCCAATAAAATTCCCCCCCTCTTCTCTTTTGTGTTGTTGTCATTGGTCCCGTACACCGCTCTTCTTTGCAAACATTTTATGCTGGCAATTTTTGTCATACCTATATCATTCCAATGACAGTTATGTTTTTTCAATACACTGCTCAATATGGGAAGGCAAAAAGTTCGAAATTTTTTCTCCGTCACATAATTGTAAGAGCTTTACTGTTTTAAATCCTTATAATCTCAAGTGCATACTTTCAAAATAACAATATCAGAAATTTCATTTCGATTGGTTCAGCACATAGGCCATTAGGGGTTTCACATATTGGGGATATTTATTTATGGCTAAGCTGCATATATCTTCTTCAGTTGCATTGCACCCAAGGCTGTCTCAACAAGCTTCCTCCAACGGATCCGATCAGTCGCTATGGTCCTCAATGATTGACTTTTAAATTTTTGAGATCTGCCTCCACACAGCCTATACAATCTTGTATATAGTACAGGGTGGTTCAAAACTATGTGTCAAAAATATAAAGCCAGGTAGAGGGAACTTGAATAAGCAGATTTCGTATAGGAATGTAAGCGAGGTAATGCCACATTAAAGCACTAGTACGTAAAGCAGTATGAATCACATGAAACTGAAAAGATAAGTAAAGACAAAAGAAAAAATATATTAACAGTTTACAATAGGTGCTTGAAAAAGCGGCCACCAACAGCGATACAAGATCCACAGTAAGGGTGCATGAATCGGTGTACATTAGAAAAGACATCAGGCATGTCGAGCACATGTCCAGCAGTGACACACAAGCAGGCAACAAGATCTTCTGCAGATGTGACAGGGCTCCCGGGTACATGAGGCCTTTAATATGATCCCAAAAGAAGAAATCCAAGCAGGTTAAACCAGGAGAATGTGGTGGCCAGAGAACTGATCCTCCCCATTTTATCCAATGCTGGTCGTAGAAAGCATCCAGGTGATTCCTGACGGCTGAAGTGAGTTGAGGCCTCATCATGTTAGAACCACATTCGCCCGCGAACAGCTAGAGGGACATCAACAAAAATTTCAGGTAATGTAGAATCGTTCCCTATAAATTCTTCAAGCAGGTAATCCATTTCCTTGCACAGCCCCATACATGAAATGCATGTCAGCAAGCTCTGCATTGGTGTAATGATGCATGCTGCTTGAGATCCATAAGGGAAATGAAGAATTTAGCTGGCGCAGCATTTTTATATGTCGTACTCATCAGCGCTCTCTACCAGTTCAACGCAGCACTACTGCACAACATTCCTATACAAAATCTGCTTATTTAGGTCCCCTCCACCTGCCTTTACATTTTTGACATATAGTTTTGAACCACGCTGTATATTTAAGATAAATATGTAAAGCAATAAACCCTTTTATTCTTCACTTGGGTTTTGATATTTCCATCCTTTACATAATGATGATTTCCTCTTTCCATCCTTTACATAACAATGGTAATATAACTAATTTAGAACTTAAAATCTCCAAACCTTTGTCCTGTTAAGTCAGTCTTCCATATTGGATAACTATGCACTTTCCTGCTTGCCACTATCAAAGTAACAGGTTGCCACTCCCTTCCATCTATCACCCATTGTGTTATGATGTGCGAAGCTTACAAAATAATGGGTTTCATATTGCATCTATAATGATGTGAATTAGATACTGTCCCCAGAATTGCTTTTACTAGAGATAAAATGTATTGAATTGATGGCTGCATCTGTTTGCTAGTAAATCATACTATCTATGCAGTAGTACCTCTATAAATTATGACAATCATTTTGTTAAACACACACACATATTTATAGAGATAGAAAGAAATATTTTGTAAATATCAATTATTGTTTAAAATGAATGCTGTCTACTTAATTCTAATAACAGCACTATTTACAAGAAGTGTTTTAATTATATTTTTCACAATTTGAATTTTAATTATTTATAGTAATAATAATAGTACTAATAGACTGATATGCAATTCATAATATTAGATTGGCAGGTAAAAATTTCATTAATTAATTAATTTCATTTCATTCATTAAGTCAAAATTTAACAACAAAAGGGGGAAAATACCTTTCTGTCATTTATTCCAGATCCAAAACAGACACGCCCTTGATTTTCAACCAATATATCAATGCTTTGGCCCTTCAAAATACGCAATGGAATACTATTCACTTTTTGCTCTCGGCTTAAGATTCCTTGCAAAACCTATATATTCAAAACATTCTGTTACATTTTTAGAAATGTAATACTGTTAAGAATATTCTGTTAAGAATTTAAACTTTTTTGTTACAGCAAAATACAGATTATTTGGATGTAATTTCATAGATATTACAGTTAACAGTATAAATTTGTTTTAAAATGCATAGTTAATTAAACTTACAATTTTTGTAATGAAAAATATTTTAGTTTTAAAATAAAAAAAAGGGGGGGATAATAACCAATTACTTCTAATTCAACATGAAAAGATTCTGTAATAAAAGAATTTCCAATAAAAACACATAAATGTGTTTACATATATATAAATAATAATTTTCACACTAAATATTCTCATTATTTATTTAAAAGGTTGGGATATTAAATACATAATTGTCTTAATATAAAATTTTCTTGTCTTCAAATGAATACATTAAAATCTTTCTGCCTCATATATACAGTCTTTCAAGCAAACTATCTTACAATTCCATCAAAGAAAACATACTTTCTTAGTTTTATGTCAAGGTGATATTCATATAATTAAATTGTAATTTACAGATAATATCTCTGACATAGCAGGCTCATATATGAGAGATTGTTTTATACACAGTCCCCCTTGCTGTAATAAAGTATCTTTAAAAATGGCAGAATGGTCTTATACATAGATATATGGTAAGTCTTAAAAGACTACTACATGAACATAGCTTTGAAATAATTCCCATATCAGCCTTTTTAAACAAATACAAAATGCAATTAATATTAAAAAAGCACAAGTCTTAGCAGTTTCTGATTATTTGCTACCTTGCTGAAAAGCCACAAAAAAAAAAAAAAAAAAAAAAAAGTGCTGCTGAGGTAGCACATTTAATATCACCAAAAAGTTTATATGGCAACCCAGGTATGCACGTAGCAGACCCCTTCCCATACATGGCTTTCCCACTTCTCTGGGTGTTTTTTGCCATTGTGACTGCAGGCTATGATCCCTTTTACGAGTATTTCAGTATTTTAACATGGCAGTGGACTGCAGTTTTTGTTATATATGGAAAAATCTTGGACCTAGCTTTCTGTATCTGTAAAATGTAATGTGGCTTACTTAAAGGCATCACACACTCTTTTTCCTTCTCATTTTAGGATTTTTGTGCTAAGGTTGTGCAATTCTCCGATTTTCCTTTTTTTTTAGCAGAAACAAAACAGATTGCTGTGTACACGGGAAGAATAACAGCACAAGAAATTAAGAAATGTGTGTATTTTGAATGGGAAAATAAATATATATATATATATATATATATATATAAAGCATGACTGGATGCATCACTAAAACTAGAAAATAAAAGTATCAAAAACAAACTTTTCCTCAACCCAATCAGTAACAAGTTCGTAACTTTTCTTTAAGGATGTTGATAATCAGAAAGTATCAAAATTATATAAAGCATAAATTTATTAAAACATATAAAAAACATAAATTTATTAAAAAATACTGTACCTTATTTACAAAAACATAAGCTCTGTCAGCTACATCTTTAACTGTCAGAACAGCTGGATCAGATGGGATAAAATTAATTTTAGTTTTGTACATTACAAAACCGTAAGGCTAAAAAAGAAATATAACACCATACCATTAATAATTTCTCATGACTGTAAAAATATACTTTTTAAAAAATGAGATTTAGATAATTATAACTTCAATGATTAATTACTGAAGATAAATATTTTTTTAAAAAGACAGTTATTTTTTATCCCACATTACAGTTACCTTTAAACATAATACAGAAAGTATTAAAAAGAATTCATCTCAAAGAACCAAACATACTTTTCTTTATTCTTTAAACAAAATTATATAAATATAAGTTCATCTTGAGCCTTGTGAAAGGTGCAGCAGATGATTCATAATGATATAATCAGTCACTGTTCTGTCAAATTACTCTTTATGTCTCATTACAATGCACACTGCCAAAAAAAAAAAAAAAAAAAAAAAAAGAGGGTGGGCAGTTCTATATCTCTCGTTCTACTGGGCCGATTGACAAAATTCAAATTGCGTATTTCAAGTCTCAAAAGCGCGACTTAGGATATATATTAGATTTATATATAGCACTATTCTAAGATAGGTATTTTGACAAAAAAATCGTACTTTTTTAAAAATAACATACCAATTTTTTTACATATTTCGATTTTACGACTCAAATTATGCCAAACTGCCAAGTTTTGTAAAAATCGCGAGAGTAGTTTTTAAAAAAATTAGCTCTCAAAATTTTAGCTCCTCAATGTTAATTGAATTTGACATTAATATCTTTTTTTTTATAAAACTTTTTTGATTTTTCCTTTCCCATTTCGAAATTTAGGTTCATTCCAAATAAAATTTACCCATTTTTGTGTTTTATATTTTAAATTTCTATTTTTAAATAATTTTTATAAATTTTTCGAAAAAAATTTTGAATTATAATCTATCTATATATGTTTTACCATCATCTTAAAGTAGGTGTAGTTCTAAGCAAACCTCCAAAAAATTAAAGTTTTTTATTCAAAATTTTCTAAGATATACACGAATTTGCATATTTTCGCGTTTTGAAATTTAGCATCTTTTTTTTTTAGCGATAATAACGCCACATGTGGTTTATGGATTTTTGTTTCAAGGAATTGCCACAGCTATTTTTAACCTTAATTTTCAAATAAATGTTTAAGGAGAATTAATTATATGAAATTTTTTCCTTCAATGATGTGTAATAAATATTTATTAATACTATATGAAAAGCTATTCTTTTTAATTATACTAGATGATATTATTCAAATTTTAAACTTTTTCTAATTTCTTTCCCCCCCCCTTTCCTCTTTTTTTTTTTTTTTTTTTTTTTTTTTTTTTAACATTTGTAAGAGTAAATTTTTACCTTCACCGTGTTATCATCTGCTACTTCTTTACTTTGACTGCATTTAAATTTAATTGTCTAAAACTGAGGAAGTTCGTTTCATGTTTATTTTCACAATGTTTTTAAGCAAACAGGACGTTGATAGTTTGGGTCATGTCCCAGCTTCAAAAATTATATATATGAGTATTAATTTTTACATTAATCCTCTTCGAAAGAATGTTTTAAGTAGCTAATTTTCTCTCGTTTTATAGATTGTATAAAAAAACAATCTTTAATATGATTTAGATTGTTTGTAGCTGATATAATAATCAGATCACTCAGTGGTACAGAATAAACATTGCTGGACTGTTTTATTTCTTTGTCATTTAACAAAAATCTTTTAATTAAAATATTTATTCTTTGGACTTTGCTTTAAACTTTATTTATAGTTAAAATGCCTAGAAATTGAAAAGCTATCTTCAACTGAAATGCGATTGATGTAACTGATATTTAAAAAAAAAAAAGATAAGAATGCAAAATTTATGAAAGTGTAACAATTGAAAAATCTTAATTTTCTTGTGGTGAGCACTAAAAATAAATGTAAGAATTAGCGTGAAAATTTCAAATCACAGGCAATGTTCCCAAAGGAGTATGACCACCTTATTTTTAATGACTTCACTCCATAAGTTTTTATGCCAACATTTGAAATGCTATACTTTATATTAATAAAACACCCGACTTATTAGAAAATTTACAAATTAATATTAATGAAGCAAATCCAGACTATGATACTGCAGTAAAGCTTTGATAAAATGATGCAAGTGTTACAGATGCTAGCAAAGCATTTCCAGCGTATTCTATGACAACTGTTATGTAAACCATACAGTATTTTTATCTCTGTATCAATAATTTAATTTTGATGTTAGCACTTTTCTATTGGCAATACAGAAAATGTTTCGATTCTAAAATGCGAAATTTTGTGGGTTTTTTTTTTTTTTTTTTTTTTTTATGTATATGGCATTATGCAAGCCAATGGGTGAATAAAATCTTAAGAGTAAAGCTGTTATGTTGAACAAGTTTTTAAAATGTGGATTACAATTTAACTTCAGTCAGAATTAAAAACTGGAGTCCAAAATTGTTGGGTAATCAGTTTCTTAAAACTTGCTGCGACAACCATAATTACAGAGCAGAACATTCTGTACAACACCAAATTGTTAAAATAGACAGGTAACATTAATATCATTAGCTTCTGAACTGTGTAATACTTTGTGATACTTTTCTATTAAAGTCATGCTGTTTAGTGTACTTTTGCATCATCTTCTTTGCACCTGACAATAATTGTCATTATAACCATCACTCATCTGATCATTTTTTTCATCTTTAGTCCAAAGGAGCAATTTGCCCAGAAGGCTTATTAATTTCAGTTTGGCATTTTGTGTTGATTCACAATAAGCATTGTTCCACTTTTCAATTGTCGCCACCAAATATTATAGCCCTGTATTATATTTAAAGAAATTAAATAATGGCGCATCTCGCATGAGATGCATGTATGTTTCTCTTGCATTGTGGATAAAACACAAAGGTATCATAGAACCATCAAATTTTGAATAACATTGTCTTTCCACTCAGAACATGAAGCATGTGGAAGCTCCGAATAATGAATTCCGAAATCGTTTTATTACCTGGTATCATATTTTGTAAATCTTTAACGAATTTTTTTGATTAACAGAGCTCAACGGTTTCAAAACGAGCAAGTTGCAACACTCTACGTAAAGAATAAAACACTTTCATCTACAGTCGCGCGAGAACTGTATATCGCAAATTCTAAAGATATGCTGTTTTCAAATATTATTATCGAGTATTGCTGTTGAAATAGAATTTTATGGTTTAAGTGCAAAGCGCCAAGACATGATATTTAATAAATAAAGCTAACACACGAAATGCGTTAAAAAAAAAAAAAACGCCTCTTTGGACATAATTTAAAATCTGAAACTTTTCAGATTTATTTATTTTTTAAATGCTGAGGATTTTATGAAGTGGCAAGAAGATGATGAAGCAGCAAAGCAGCTATTCTGTTTCTTTGAGAAAGAGATGTTCTTTACAAAGAAAGCCTGTATTCAAATAACATCTCAGGAAATTAAAATATGCGATTAAAAGCCAAAATGGCTATACTGCCTTTGTTCATGACAAGAAGAAAAATAATGTTCAAGCATAAACATGGCTTGTCAGATTATGCATCCCTTTCGTTACTGTTGTATAATTCATTTACTTATAGTGTCAGGAGTTAACATCTACTGAGTTTTCAGAACTAAAGCTTCTTTCAAATGAATCATAATACACTGATATACTGGAATAATTACATAAGAAAGGTATGTACCAATCCATTTGTATGTCATCCTAATGTTAAAATTGATGGATGGATACTGTGGAAAATTTATTCACAATAAAATAATGCAGATTGTGTTTTTTCCCCGCAACAGGTTTTTGAAGGATTGCTTTATGAAATTAGAGGATGTTTCTTGTTGTTATTCCCTATCATGCCAATTTCACCTAGTATCCAATCAAAGAATAGGAGACAAAACAAATTAATATGCAGCAATATCACACCAAAATTGCTTTAATGGAATAATACCTATTTTTTAAATACAGTTTGTCTTAGAAAAGTAGAATTTTAAAAAGTCAGTATTAGGATAAGAGACTAGGCTATTTTCACACAATATAAAAATGTTTTATAAATAAAATCTTACATGTTTAAGATCTTCAAATGAAAGAGGACTCTTATTCAAAATTGTTCTACCCGTTAATGTTAAGTATTCCCAAAGAGTTGAAACCTAAAAACACGAAGATAACTTGAAAATTTGCTCAGCATAAAAAAAAATAAATAAATAAATAACATGAAATGATACTAATATTATAAATACATCATAACTCTAACATCAAAACAGTTTATATTTTATGTGCCAATATGCTACAAAATACACAGGTTGTACACAATGCTTACATCATTTGGAAATATTAAAAATAAAAGTATATAAAAGTAAAGCAAGATTAAATATATTATAGAATGCAAAATTTTAATTAAGCTGATTTTTCAAAAGAAAATCAGTTATTGAAGAGTTAAAAGAACAAAAGTTGGTTTATTATCATATTATCCAGCAGTGATGGATATAAAAAGAGCAGCCCACTTCACCAAAACATTAGGAAGTTCATCATCGAAGACATACAGTTATGTTAATGATTTAAAAAAAATAATTAATCATCTGATGAATTATTATTGGATTTCAAGGCCTTATGTAAATAAGATATGCTTGAATTCATAAATCCACATCTGTCATCCAATACAAAATTTTCTAATGCCTTAGTCGCTGCGCTCGTTTCTCATATGGGCAGCAGATTCGAATCAATTTTGTTCCACCCGAATCTCACAAGAGCTACACTTTTCCAATAAAAAGACATAGAAACGCCAATTTTTAATTGCACCAGTTTCAATTTTATTTATACAGCAGCTTCACAGATGGCAGCACAGTACTTGTAATTTGATTATACACTACTCTGTACACTTTTTCTATTAGAAAATATTTTGAAAGGATTCAATTTCAGTGCTCGTTTCTTCGCCTTTAATATCGATAAAATGAACAGCTCAAGTGAGCACAAGGATCTAAGTCTTAAAGAATTAGGAAATAATTCAGAAGGCAGCTTTGCTTCAGATGTTTTTGATTCTGAAATATCAGAATTTGAAGAGAGCGATAACAGCAACCGACGCAACTTTTACCAACCTTTTTTTACTTCTTTTATTTTACAACATTATGAGCATTTTATAAATGATGAAATAATGGATATAATTGTAGAAGTGACTAACTGCTACAGTGAGCAATCAGGTATTGTTGTTGGTAAAGAAATATAACAGGCAGAAGAAAATGCCTGTATCACCGTGTGAAATGCATTTGTTCTTTGTACAGTCAATTTTACAAGATATTATAACAAATAAATAAAAAAATAATAAAAAAAACTGAAGAACGCATGTAACTACAAAAGCATCAGTGGAAACTCCTTTTTTCCGATATGAATAAAGATTATGTCATATAATCGATACGGTGAAATAAATACTTATATTTTGTGAACAATGAGTCTCATGACCCAGAAAATCATCCTAACACAAAATTCTGTAAAATTTGGCCTATATGTGAGCATTTGAATTAAGTATATTAAACAGCAATTACCCCTGTAAGAGATATTACTACAGATGAAACTTTGATGCTCTTCAAAGGGCAAATAACATAACCTCGGAAAAAAAGCAAAAATTTGCTATCAAAAATACATGCTAGTTGTTACGACTTTGATGATGTCCTTATTCAAACAAGGTTACTGTATCATCTTCTATAACTAATATTATTATACTTCACCACCAGAATTACATAACATCCTTTTGACTTATCAAACAGATGTGGTTGGAACTGTTACATGCTGAAGGATTCACCTTCAGCACTGAAAAATAAAAAGTTAAATCTGACAAAGTTATACCATTTAGACGTGGAAAAATCTTCACTCAAAAAGGGAAGGACAAAAAAGGAAGTAACAAGATTATCATCATTTTTTTATTCTGAAACTGTTGAAATAATGACAAAAAGTAAAAAATTGAAAACAAAACCAAAGGTTGTAATTGACTACAATAAAGCAATGGAAGGTATGGATCTTGTAGATCAATATTTTCTAGATGTCATAGAAAGAAGAACAGAGGGAAAAAATTATTATAAAAATACTCTTTCACATTTTAGACCAGAAAATTATGTTAAAATAAATGACTTCCTAAGTTTTTTTCTTTGTTACATTATCTATCATAATTAATTCTGCATTTTGATTCAGATAACATTTAATGTACTTATATTGCACTTCTACTTCAACATTCTTGTTTATTAGACTCTAAAAGGGGTTTCTCTGAGATTCCAATTACAATCTGAGTGATGTTGGCCATACTAGATTAGCATAAATTTAATTATGCAAATTGATAACTGTAATAACCAAAAATAATTTTTTCTTAGATGACTATTTTCACAGAAGAATGAAATTTTCTAAAACCACAGAAAATAATCTTAAGAGGGGGCACTGCTTTCTAAAATATAAAACACAAATAAGCAATCTTAAAGCTTAGCCATGATGTAAAAAGTTTTACCTTTTTCATTGTTATTGGAGGCAGTTTCATCTTTGGTGAAGGTTCTGGTACAGGACCAGGCGGCAAAGGAAGGAACTGTTAAAAAAGTTAATTATCTACATAATATACAAATTTTTTTTTAAATAAAATACACATTATGATCTGATACATTATTGAAATCATATTATTCTTGATTAATTTAAATGTGAAAAGATTTAATTTTATTCATAATAAGCAACTGATTTCCTTTATCGGTGACAATAAAAAAGAGCAAGGCCCAAAAATCAAAAACATATTTTCTATCTTAATTGTACACAGCTTATTTTGCCTTATTGAAATGTATTTATTTTTTACATTTAAAATAAAACAAAATACAGCCTAACTTCAATTTCAAAAATCTAATGTGAGAAAAAAAAAGTTGGGGAATTGAACGATTGTGAAAAATTAACATTAGTTTTGAATTCTATATTTTGACATGTTGCACATATCAGCATTCCCCTTCCAAAGAAAAAAATACTTAAAACAGTTTTTTCAAAATTCAGTAATCAAGATAGAAGTAATTGGACCAGTTTGGTGATCCACTTACTTTCCAGATTGACAAAACTGTCAACTTCTGAAAAATCAGAAGTTTTAAATCACAATTTATTACCAGATTGAATTAATCAGAAGGATAATTCACAGTTACACAGAACTATTTTAATCTTTCTTCAGCTTTAATAAATTAATGCCACATATTTAATGGAAATTTTTTCCTCTGTCAGATTTATTTCAAATTTATTGCTTGAAGTATGCTGCTTTCTTCTGAATAGAAAATTAAATAATCTACAAGATTATTGTTGCTAGCAAAGAAATATTTTCTACTATTAACTTCATCACAATGGCAGCAATTTTCTTCCAGTTACATCAGCGTGATACAATTATAAACGAATAAGGCAACAAATATTCAATGAATTATACAGTTGAATAGGCTGGACATTAGTAAAGACTGGCCACTTTAATAATCAAGCATTTACTGAAAATGGCTGAATCCTTTGGTCATTTAATCATCACTGAAAACATTGCCCAGGGGACATCACATGAAATATGCTCATAAGAAAGAGGAAGCTCTGTCCCAGTTTAGATGAAGGGTGATGGATTTGGCAGTGATGGATCTAAGAGTCTCCCATCCCTATTCCCCAGCCACCAAACTCTCAGTTTGGGTTAGGATCAACAGTAGTTAAACTTCCCTCATGTCATGAAGACCCATATTTATGAATATCCATGCCTTCTCTGAGATTCAAAGCTATGGCAGCTGACTCTCCTATCACTCTACCAATAGGGCAGCTGAATACAAAATAAGAAAATTCTCACAAGAGAATTTAAAAACTCATGAAGCTAAAAATAAGATGTCTAAAACTGAGAAATTTCAATTAGGAAATATTTATTTATCTTTTGCCCTTTCCCTTCAAAATTTCGAAGTATGCTTATCTTTCACAAAACTTCCTGGCCATTCAGTATCATTAAAGAAAGAAAAAAAAAAGGAAAAAGATGGTTCTAAAACTCTATAAAAATTACTATTTTGACAGGAAATAATGATTTGTAGAAGAGAAAGATAAAATAATATTTACTTTTTTTGCTGTGTTTGACGGGCTGTAAATTTTTATCATTAAATGGTTGTTTATGCATGCCTCTGTCAAGATGAAGCCACGTTAATAACCATTTACCATTATGATACAAAGAAGCTCATATGAAACTTGAATTTTGTTTAAAGTATTAACAATACCAAAATTCGAGAAAATGAAGTGCATTAAATTATGTGTAATGATGCTCAATTTAAAAGCACATATATGCTATAGACTGTCCATTTACATAATTATACAGTCAAATGTCTTTAATCTGGACTCGTCGGGACTTCGGCGATTCCAGATTGTCGGTTTTTCCGGATTGTAGATCATCAGTTTAAATCTGGTAAGATGACATGCAGAAATTATAAAATAAAAAATATGAAACTGTAATTTATGAAATAAAGAGCAATTATGATCTAAAGGGTATCAAAATTTACAAAAAAAAGTTTAATATTTATTTGTTTACTTTATTAAACATTTCTTTCAGCGCGAACATGCATAAAGCATACATTATGCATAGTCGAAATTATAAAATTGCAACCAGAAAACTATTTGATGTGTATTCGTGATATTTATAATGACGAGGAATTTGATTTAAATCATATCAAAGACGGAGTACATCGAGATGAAATACTACATTTAGTAAGGAATTATAAGCCAAATGAAACAAAAACATCTGCCCTGAAGATAAGGATAGTGCTGACAGATTAACTTCCAGTTCATTGCGCCCCCCCCCAGAGCAGCTTGAAATTGATAAACATATTTTGGAATTATTAGAGAATCAAAGGATATGCCTTTATCCCTTTTTTGCAGCAATTCCACTTTTTTTTTATAGACATCGGAACATGCTTTCACTTTGTAGATCCTTTGGTAGCTCCAGAATCAGAAATTCTTTTTGACATAATGGAAAGTTCAAGCTTACTTTTATAAAATTGCTCTAACAGTCTGCAAAAAATAATAAGCCAGATCCAATTAGAAGATTAAGGAACAACGCAATCTGCAACATTAACTGAAATAGATAATTATATAATTTTAGCTTAGCTTGTACCATCCACTATACATTAAACGTGCATGCATAAACATATTATGTGCATGCGTAGATGCATATGCGCACGCATAAAGGTATTATGCGCATGCGTCAACGCATTGCAGAATGTTTGTAGCTTTGAGGTCCGGATTATAGATAAATCCGGATTAAAGACTTTTGACTGTAATATATTGTTTTTAAGACCCAAGACACATCTCATAAAAATTTATATTTTTTTCTCATATATGTACAATTTATTGTTTTAACAATAAGACCATTCTAAACTCAACACCCTATATTACAAGCGAGTTATCTTTTTAAATACTTCAAAATATTACTTCTCATTTAAAAGCTGAAGAATTTAATGGAATTAAAAAAAACATGAAAAGTCTTTACAATCTATAATGGTAACATACAAAATAATGATATAAGACTCATCAGAATGCTCAAAATCATGCATGCACATTTCAATTTCACTGTGATATAAGAAATGGCATCCTCTACTACATGAAAGATTAAAATTAATTACAAGAAGTCCACAACAAAAACTTCTCCTTTCCATTCTCCAACACATAAAAACTGTGCACATCTTGTAAAACAGTTTGAAATGGTTAAAGCATTATCAAAAATGGCTGAACCAAGATATTTTAAGTGTTTCGCTATTACAATATTTAAAGCTGAAATATTATTTCAAAATCAGTTTTATTCAACTGCACAAAAATGAATAAGTACGTCCCAATCATTTCCCTTTCAATTAATTTACAAAAGAAAATAAGACACCGAAATAAAATCACTTTTTGAAAATTAAAATTATTTCAATGATCAAAAAATCATTTAATAAAATAGGCTTACACACATACTTACACTAAATTGTTGTAATGATCTAAACACATACAAATTTATGTTACCTTGCCTATAGCCTCACGCATTGCATAATATTTAGGAGTAGGATCCCCAGCTTCAGATAATGGTGCATCATAATCATAACTAGTAGGACAAGCTTGAAATGTGCTGCCAAGATTGGATCCTAAAGTAAAATATCCTTAAGAGTTGTCGAAATTCTTTACATTCTAATAAAGAAGTTAATTTTAAGAACAAAAGGCAACCCTTAATAGTTACTTTTATAGGAACTAATAATAAATAAAAACATATTCTATAAAATGATAATTCATGTTTAAGAACTTTTTTTTTTTTCCTAAACCTGAAGCATCTAAGATAGAATTACATCCAGCATCTAAGAAAAGCAAAACAGTATATTTATGTTAAATAAAAATTTAGACAATCTGGTTCCTAATCTTAATTTACAACTAAAGTTATATATTGAAAAATTAAAGGTACAATTAACTAAGAATAGCTTAAAAAAAAAAAAGAAAGAAGTCTAAAATTTAGTCAGGTAGCACAATTTGAAAACAAAAACATCTGATATGCTATTAATAAAGAAATGCAATGCTTTCTCAGTAATAAAATGATCACACATTGTAATTGCCACCTCGATGTTTGATCTTACTGGAAACTATTTTCTTGAATTTCTTATTATAAGATTTCCAAGATTAATAACAAATTATCCTTCTGTAAATCATTTTCCTTTTGAAAATAATCTTTTACAAGTTTGCTTCAAAAGGCCTCATTTTATGAATTTCATTTTAAAACAGGTAGCACTCATATAATACAGCACTCCTGCAACACAATTTTGCTCTGCACAGTTTAAGAAATGAAGAAAATCCTCCTATAACATGGCATTCCTCCAACACTGTTTGAGTCTAACTGAAGAAATTCCTATTCCCAAGTACCTATGGCAGTCACAGATACCTCAACATTCTAGCATATTAAAATACAACATACATAGCATGTTTTTTAAGTAAGGACTGTTTTGTTGTATACACTAATATGCCACATGCTGGCGAGACGAGTGCTTGCACGTGTTCCATCATACCTTGGAAACAACTGTGCTCAGTTACAACTGTGTAGGTAACCTGTACAGTCTGTTCTGTGTCTTTAAAATGTTCAAGATTATTGAATTGTCTGCCCCATGTGAGGTACGGTCAGTGATACGTTTTTTGTTGGCAAGAAACTTGTCTACTGCAGACATTCACTGGCAGATTTGTGAAGTTTACGGAGCAATTGCCAAGAGTGAAGGCAAAGTGCTTAAGTGGGTCTTGCTTCGGTCGCCCATCTGTGATCACAGACGGTATGGTGGCTTCAGTTAAAGAAAAAATTCTTGAGAACAGACATTTCACCATAAGCACTCTTTCAAACAAATTTCCTGAAGTGTCTAGTGTAGGATGTAAAAAAGGACGTGACCTCTTGGTTATCAGAGCAGGTGGCAAGTTTCTATGAAGAGGGTATTCAAAATCTAGTTCTAAGGTATGATAAGCATTTAAACAAACTTGGCAACTATGTTAAAAAAATAGAGAAATGTATGTAGAATCTGAAAATAAAGTTGGTTTTTGAAAATTTTCTATTGTTTGGTTTTTATTTTCAAATGACTCTTACTTAAAAAACACCCTTCATAATTTTATAAAAAATAATTCTTAAGACAAATTTTTAGACAGCAGAAACAGAAATAATAGTTAATTGCCCTCCACTTAGCTGAACAGTTGGAATTATCCTTTGGAAAAAGCAAAAAACTTTAGAGTCAACTTTAGAGTTTAGCTGCATTTAATGAAATTTTTATGAATTTCTCAGATAATTGAAGAAACCTCAGAAGATGAGGATTTTTACTAAAAGTCTCTTAATTCAATTGTAATTAATAGTGATGAAAAAGAAAATATTGCATAAGATTAGTATTTAATTTTGTTATCAATTGCTGTTTTAATACAGACATTTTCTCCATTACAAAATGAAAATATCGAAGCTTAACTCTACTTTTGTTTTAGTTCTTTCATTCATATAATATCCACACAATTTTTAGGAACAAGGATCGCCTATATTAAATCTTGAAAATTTACTATAAATGATCAATTACGCCAATTTTACATATTTTTGTCACTTAAAGATACTTCTGGATATAATATTCTTTCTTACTCCTCTTAACTAGGAATATATTTCAACATTCTTTTATTATTAGAATATACTTAATTATCAAAACAGAAGAAAAACACACTAAAGTGAAACATAAAACCTTGTGTTTGCTGTAAATTTAGTCAAGAACTCAGTTGATTTCAAGGGCTAACAGGTACAGGTCCTTCTTCATCAGGACCAAGCCATAAAGTAATAAAGCGAATGAGAAGGCAGCACTATCTGTCAGGAGAAATAGTAACAAAAATTGAAAAATTAAGAAAACAGAATTTTGAGTGTTAAGAAGGACTGGATGGACTCAAAATCCTTAACTAAACATGATAATTCCTTGCGAATGTGAAAGGCTTCCAGAAAATCCAATTCACCAATGAAAGAAGCATTTTGGATAATTATTGCACTCCCAAAGTCAAGATTATGATTAAATTTTCAACTATAATTAGCTATCGAAGACATGCTCATTTCACCTTTTCAGACATAAGATTTCATGTTCCTTCACATGAAACTTTAACACTCTTTTAGTTTGGCTGCTATATCTCTAACCACACTAACATGATATGCTATAAATTCCCCAAGAATTAAAAGTCAGAAAAGGAATCTTTAAGAACTGAACCATAGATTTTATTGACAGTTGAGAAAATGACTTCAAAATTCAATTTCTGGAGAGTTCATTCAATTTTATAACTGACAAAAGGATGCAATGGACGCACGGCTAAGTTAATACTGATTTTAATTCAAGAATTCTTCAGAACAAATCTAAGAAGTAGCTATGAAAAACTCCTTGTTTTGACCTTAAATGACTTTGTCTCAGATTTAAAAAAGATTTGGTTAACAAACCTGAAGCTGCCCTTTTTATTTATGATAAATTTTATATGTAATTTTTAATAAATATTTTACCAGTTGGAATTTCTGCTCTATAAAAGCCTTGCAAATCAGCCTCTCTTATTTCCTCCTAAATCTTAACTGCTTGTTTAATCTACATATTAATATTTAGCATGCAGACCGTTTTCCTAAAATTCTGTACCTTATTTGTTAAAAAAAAAAAAGAACTATGTTATCTAGTATCAATATTTCATAAAACCTTCTTTATATGTGTGTACAGTGACTATAAAATAATAAAAAAGTCAGTACAAATTTTTAAAAATTTCTTAAATACAGTTAAATGAATAAGACAAAACAAATACAAATTTAACATTGTAAATGATAGTAGTTGTTACAGAAATATCCTTTCTATAACAAGTATACAATTAGCGTGCTATTTTTTTTTATTTATCTATATATTAACTGATAAACTTATTTCTTTTCTTCTTTTTTTTAAGAAACTTAAAATACTTTTTACTCTATTATATTAAATCTTGTTTTTATATCAGATACTAAACAGTTTATGTGTAGAATCAGCTCTTGTTAAATTAAAAACTAAAACATATATTATGTATGAATATTAATTTATAAGATGTAAAACATTTCACTAGAAATTAAAATGACTTTAACAGCCTGTTTTCTCCCTTTAAAAATGAAATACTTTGATTTTTAATTTTCTACTAATATATCGACTTTCTGATAAACAATAACAAAGTTTAACAAAAATATACACATTTGTTTTAATATTTGAAACTGCAATGGAATCCATATTTTTTAGCTCTGATAAAAAGCAATCTCTGTTATTAAAAAATGTAGAATCTATATATGTGTTCAATGCCCTGTAGAAGGAAAGTGGCACTTAGAGTCACCAAATTTTGTACAAATGTAGGGCTGCACTCAAACCTATATAGTTCAAAACACAAATTTGGGATATTCATTTTATGTTTTGTGTGAGCTTAATGAATTTTTTGTTAACACATAAGGTGATTTTTAAAAAAACGTATTGCCATTACTCAAAATAAAACACCATTATCTTCCATATACGATTACTATTTGAAAAGTGTGAGATTTTCATCTTTCAAATTTAATTAGTCTTATTCATTAAAAAAATGGTATTAAATGCAATTCTTAATAGTATTTTTTACTTTTTTTTTTAAATGTATCTGATAGATTTAAATAAAATTGCTTTTTATTCATAATAATGTCTAGAATAGTTGAAATGGAATGGTTGATCAAATAAGTATAATCAAAACAACAATACTACTTGTTTATTAGTCCAAAGGGGCTTTGTCCGTGAGGAACTATTGTTTTTATTTTGCGATTTTGCGTCAAATCACTATAAACAGCATATCACTTTTCAAATTGTTGCCACTCAATATTATGTTTAAAGAAATTAAATAATGAAGAAATCTGCATGAATGTATGTATGTTTCAAGCATTGTGATAAAACAATGGTACCTAGAGCCATCAAAATATGAATGATATAATTTTCCATAGAGTATGGGCATGTGGAAGCCCGAATTTGAAATTTTTTTTATTATCATTTTCATATTTTGTAACACTTCAATGAAATTTTGATTAACAAACTAAACGATTTCAATGCGAGCAATGGCAACACTGTACGGGAAATTTTTTTTTTCTCTCTCCAGCACTTGAGATTGTGTATCACAAATTCTAAAGATATGCTCGTTTTAAAATTATTTTGCGATATTGCTGAATTGAACTGAATTTTATAGTTTAAGTGCCAAGTACATAATATTTAATAAATAAAAGTAACACACAAAATGTTAAAAAAAATGCCCCTTTGGGCGTAATTTAAAATCTGAAACCTTTCAGATTTTTTTCTTTTATGAAAATTTATTTATTTAACGTTTATGGAATTACAAAATTATGCTAGTGGGTTTACTTAAATTACATTAGCTGGATTTATTAAAATAATTATATACTTTTCTTTTTTTATAGTAACTATTTTAGGCTGGCTATGCAAGTGGCTAAGATAATATATAAATAATATAGTATATCAGCTAATTATTGTTCAATACATTTGGTTGCAGTTCTAAATATAAGGTTCCACACAAATTAATATAGTAGCAAGTATGACAACAATGCTAATCATATTTCAATGATTTATACCTCGTACTACAGTCAAAAGTCGTTAATCCGGACTCGTCGGGACTTCGGCGATTCCGGATTATCGATTTTTCCGGATTATAGATCATCAGTTTAAATATGGTAAGATGGTATGCAGAAATTATAAAATTAAAAATATGAAACCGCAATTTATGAAATAAAGAACAATTATGATCTAAAGGGTATCAAAATTTACAAAAAAAAAAAAGCTTAATATTTATTTGTTTACTTTATTAAACATTTCCTTCAATGTAAGTTGTTTAAGTTGCTTCGTTTTATGTGATAATACTTTCTCTTTAATTCTATAAACTATAAGACATAATTTTCTTCTTCAGTTACAAAGTTCCGCTGTTGAAATCCTATAATTGCTGTGTCGAGAATACCGACTAATTTGTCAATCGAAATTTTTTCATTTCCAATAACCTCTGTGTTACTTTCTTCACTATCGGAAGGGAATTATAATGACGAGGAATTTGATTAAAATCATATCAAACACGGAGTACGTCGAGATGAAATACTACATTTAGTAAGGAATTATAAGCCAAATAAATAAAAACATCTATCCTGAAGATAAGGATAGTGCTGACAGATCAACTTCCAATTCATTGCACGCTGCAGAGCAGCATGAAATTGATAAACAGATTTCGGAACAGTTAGATAAACAAAGGATTATGCCTTTATCCATTTTTTGCAGCAATTCCACTTTTTGTTTAATGGACTTCGAAACATACTTTCGCTTTGTAGATCCTTTACATATTAGTAAATATATATATCGGAAATTCTATTTGACATAATCGAAAGTTCAAGCTTACTTTTATAAAATTGCTCTAATAGTCTGCAAAAAATAATAAGCCGAAGATCCAATTCGAAGATTAAGGAACAATGCAATCTGCAACATTAACTGAAATAGATAATTAGATAATTTTAGCTTATACTGTCCGTTATACATTAAACGCGCATGCGTAAACATATTATGCGCGTTCGCACTTTTGCATATTCGCAGCTGTAAAGGTCTTGCATGCATCAACGCGACGCATGCGCAGAAAGTTTGTAGCTTTGAGGTCCGGATTATAGATCATTCCGGATTTTGGGTGTCCGAATTAACGACTTTTGACTGTATTTAATAAATATAACTGCCATACACATAAAGAAAAGAATAGCCAGTAAAAAATACTGAACCTTTTTTTGGTACTGTTCTGTTATCGGACTGGAGTTATCGCCAAATGTTCTGCTAAACTCGTCAAGAGATTGATTTATATGAAGATGCCAATGTTTACTTTTAAAACTGTTATAATGTTTACATTTTAAAAAAGTAAAAGAATGCATTTCAAAATTGGCAATGAGAATACAAATTCTAAAGATGTAATGGTCAGTTTTGTTTTTATTATTCTTGTATTTACCATGGATTTGAAAATTTGGGACTTACATAATGATGAAATATCTTCCATACAATTTCTTCAGGAACGAGGAATTGTTCACTCTGGAAGAAAGTGTATGAAAAACCATAAAATGAAGTTCTACTTTAGTTTGAAAGAAGCACTGGGAAAGAGATGTCAAGATCCGGATTTGAACTTTTCTGCCTTAACCACAGGTATAATTATATCGATCTCAATAGTAGTTACCATACTGAAACTTTTGAAAAGTTATAGGACAGTGCGAAACAAACTTCAACGCGGCATTGAACGTAACCAATTAGATTCTTATGTGAGTTAATGTGGTGGCAGATGCATCTTAAAAAAGCAAATCTTTTAGACATTTTAAATGATATCCACAGGTTTATGTCTCCGCACTAATCTTAATTACCTAAATTCGCTAACTGATTTTTTTTCTTAATTTCTTTGGCAAGTTGCTTAATTTACATTAAAAATTTCTAATTGTATGAATATCTGTTACGTTATTTTTTCCTTTGGAATTTTCTTTAACTAAACTATATCATAAATATTTTGGCGATTATTTTTATGCTTCGAATTTTTTGCCAGATCATCAGCTTCTAGCGATGTTTGAATTCAGGTCTGATAACAGAACAGTACCCCCTTTTTTAATTAATGACTCCAAAGAATTTTGAGATACATTTGCAGGTGATTACACTTAAAATTTACACAACAAAATTTGACTTTTTATGCAGCATCACTTTATTAAAGATCTCCAATTTCGAATGTCATGTGCTGTATCTAATGTCTATAACTTCTGCAAGACAATTTTAAGATATGTGCAATTTTATGTCTCATTCTAGATGTTTCTTTTGATTAACATATAATAAATATAAAATTCCACTTAAATTCCCATACACCATAAAATATTCTTTAAGTGCTTTTTTCTTCATAAAGTATTGTTCTTTCTTAAATTCTGAAATAATAAATAACTGCTACACATGATGGTCCACCAGTGAAAAAAGATCTCATACTATTTTCACAGATGTAACGAAGTTTGTTTTAATTTTTAAATACCGCATTCAAAAATTCACTCTTAACAAATACTCTTAAACATCAGTGATCGAAAAAAATTACATACCAGCACTAAATCCAAAAGATGTACCTCCATGGAACATATAACTGAAAAAGAAAGAAAAAATAATTTTCTGAAGACATAAGTTGCTCTAAAATTTACTTACTTAGGAAAGGATTACATTACTTAAAATTTTCTTTTCTATGAACTGATGTATAAATTTTGCGTCTTTAAATTTTATAAATGGCATCATGTAAATTGAATACAATTAAAAAAATTGATAATTATGATAAAAAAATGGCTAAGTCACTTAATTAACAAAAATATATATTTCAACACTTTTCCCCCAAAAAGGTTTAATTACATCATAATACAGATTAATTGTATCCAAAAAATTAATGAGAAAGTGTATAAAATGTTACCAGTTATGAAATGTATGACAGCAAAAATAATTTCAAAACAACCAGAAAATACCATTCCATGTTGCATTTTCCAAGTGAATAAGCAAAGATAAAATGGTAACATACAATCAAAACACCTTGAATTTGTGCATATAAGATTATTCTCAACTATGCAATATGAAATTCTTACTTTATTCTTAAATTAAATTAAAAGTAGTAATGGAAGGAAAACAAGACAGAAAAAATAATACGAGAGAATATGACAGAAAAAGTTATCAGTAGGAAATTATGCAGGCATTACTTGCTATCAGCAAGGAAATATACTACAACAATATTTATAGCCAATTGAATTAAGTGAAACTGAATATTAATTATAACTGAATATTAAGTGAAACTTGAATATTAAGTGAAATTGAATAGTCAACATTTAATTTTATAAAAGTAACAAAACCAATAACTGCAATATTAAAAGGTTAAAAAATCAAAATAATGAATATTTAAGCCATACTTAAAATAATTAAATATTTTATTACAGCATCAATAACACATGAATCAATTACACTGTTAAACAAAATTCAAAAATGCATATTTTACCTCTTCTAAATTTTATTTTTTATGATAGCTATAAAATCAAAAAATAACTTAGACTTACCACTGAATGTTCAACTATATGAACACATATTTTTAATATTTTTACTTTTATTTAAAAAGATACATAAATTTATTTTCCAGATTCCCCAGCCGTCCATAAAGAGTATATGTATTGTTACGAATTTGGTATTTCAAAAGCTAATGTTAGTTCAATTATAAATTAAATGGTTTTATTTCTCGCGCAGTGCAGCGCGTGATGAATATTAAAAGAAAGCTAAGCCGGAAAATTGAAAATACAAGAGCGCGTGCATTAAATAAATAAATATCTCTTTTTGATTTCGAGAAAGTACTGGAAAATTCTAGCGTGTGATTTTAAAATTGTATAAAAGGAGGAAAACATTTCAGTTTGTAGTTAGTTGCTTGCTTAGTTTGTTGCTGTTTAGAAAACTGCTCTTGTTGATTGTAGCGAATTCGCAGATTAGCGTTCTTTAGCTGTTTTGAATTACGTTCTATTGGATATTTGAGTAGTTAAAAGATAACTACTGTGAGATATTGTAATACTGCATGATAATTGAGAAAATTTAAGCATTTTTGTTGTGATAATAATAAATTTTTGTTCATTTTTCATCGGACTTGTGCATTCTTTTTGTAACGAACCCATACGCACGCAACAATTTTTGGTGTCAGAAGCGGGATTTTGAATGCCAATTACAAGAGCGATGGAAGAACAATTCAGGCAAATGATGACTGCATTTGCTGCTTTCCAAGAAAAGATGGAAGGGGCCGTCAACTCCATTAAGGAAGAAATGAAATTGGGCTAGGAATCCGTTAAGGACGAAATGAAAGCCATTCAAGCTGGTCAAGAAAAGATTGAAGCACGTCAAGAAGAAATGAAAAGAGAAATTACCTGCATAATAGAAAATAAATTTGAAGCTATAGAAGGCAGAATTGAGACAGTTAAAAATAAAGTTGAAAAAATTGAAGAAAAGGTTTCTTCCGTAAAAGATCAAATTGAAGAAAGAGTTTCTTCAGTGAAAGAAGAAATAGAAGAAAAAGTTTCTTCTGTAAAAGAACATATAGAAGGGAGAGTTTCTGCTGTGGAGGAACGAATTGAAGGAAGAGTTTGTGCCGTCCAACAACAAATTGATGATAGGGTTTCTGCAGTAGCCAAAGAAGTGGATATTTTAAAGAAATTCGTAGCGACGGCAGGGAACAATAGTGATGGTTTTAAATTCCTACCGATGCCTGCTCGTCCATCTCTGAAGCTATCCACATATGATGGGAAGACATCCTGGCAAGTGATAAGATCCAGTTTTTTATCGTTGCGGATGCGAATGGATGGGATTCCCAAACTAAGGCCTGTCATCTCGCCGCTTCTCTTAGAGCAGACGCAGCGGATATCCTGCAGACGCTTCCCGAAAATCAAAGGCTAGATTTCGAAGCTCTATCTGGCGCTTTGGAGCTGCGCTTTGGCGAGAAATGTTTAAAAGACTACAGCAGGCTCCAATTGAAATCCCGTCAACAGAAGCCCCAATGAAACACTTCAGGAGCTCGCCACGGATGTTGAAAGGCTGTCACATCACGCCTTTTCAGAGTGCCCGACAGAAACAAGGGAAATCCTGTTTCTGCAATATTTCATCGATGGCATCCGGGACCCTGAAATAGAGAAAGCACTGCGAATGGCGGATGTTAAAGATCTGAAAAGCGCTTTAGTGTACACCATGAAATTTGAGGCAGCCCAGCAAGCCACCCGTCGAGACCGCCATCTAGTCAGAGCTGCTCAAGTCCAGGAGCCAGGGGATGAAGTCACTGCTCATTTAGACGATTTAACTAGACAATTGAATGCCTTGAGACGGAATATTGGTGACAAGAAACCGACTGTAAAATGCTCGAACTGCGGTGCTGAAGGGCACATACGATTAAACTGCAGAATACCCCAGGGTACGGATGTTAAGACCGCTCCTAACAAACAGCAGGGAGACTAATTAGTGGCCATCTCGCGGGGCGGAGGTTGCCAGATAATGAAAAGCCCCAGTTTAAAGCATTTCAGATTTCTGCAGTGAGAGGCAGCAGTAATGGTCTTTTCATAATAGGACATATTAATGGAGTTCCCTGCAATATGACAATAGATACAGGAGCCAACGTTACTATCATCCGAAAAGATGTGGCTCAACAACTGGGAGGCAAACTTATCTGGACGCCGCCCTGCGTTACCCTCCGGACTGTGTCCGGTGAGAAGATCGACATTGACGGAAAAGTAAATGTTAACATTACGTTTGGGAGTGCCACTTACCATCACACAGCATACGTAGCAGAGATCATTGATTCTTGCAACTCGGATTGGACTTTCTAAGGAAATACAATTTTTCCTTGGACTTTAAAAATAATGAATTGCATTCTACATCTGAGGACATAGCGTTATTTGGAATTAATGATGAAGAAGTTAAATCTGTCCATAAAATTATAGCACAAGACAATATCACAATATCAGCAAGAACAGAAATTTTACTTCCTGGATCCATAGCCAAAAACAGAAATTTCCGCTACAGCATCATAGAATATCCAAATAACTGTAATAGCCCAAAAGGAGTACTAGTAGCCTCAACACTCGTCGACCTATCCAGAACGGTTATCCCGGTGAGAGTCGCCAATGTAACTGAGAAGACGAGAGTTATTAAGCAAAGTGAAGTGGTTGCAGCATGTACTCCAGTAACCAGCATTGAAAGAAAGGGTAACATCCAAGAATCCGTGTCTTCAGAAAGCATTACATCAGAGTTACACCAGAATGCGCAATTAAACGATGAAGAGAAGAATGCTGCCGATCGCATCATTAAAGATCTTCAAGTTGTTTTCTCCCGCTCGTTTTCTGACGTGGGTCGAACTAGTTTAACATAACATAGAATCGATAGCGGCGATCATCCCCCGATCAAGCAACATCCAAGACGTCTACCGTTTGCTAAACAGGAAGAGGTACGAACACTTTTAAAGGATATGGAAGAAGGCGATGTCATCGAGCCTTCAGCAAGTCCATGGGCATCTCCCATTGTCCTAGTCAGAAAGAAAGACGGCTCAACAAGATTTTGCGTCGACTATCGCCGATTGAATGAGGTTACGAAGAAAGACAGTTACCCTCTTCCTAGAATTGATGACATTTTGGACACTCTTTCTGGAAGCAAGTGGTTCTCAACACTTGATTTAAAGAGTGGGTATTGGCAGGTAGAAATACACCCTGATGACCGAGAAAAGATGGCATTTACTACGGGACAAGGGCTTTGGCAATTCAAGGTGATGTCGTTTGGACTGTGTAATGCGCCGGCAACATTCGAACGTCTTATGGAGACTGTTTTGAAAGGCCTTTCCTACGAAGCCTGCCTGATATACCTGGATGAGATCATCATCGTCGGAAAGAGTTTTGAAGAACATTTAGAAAATCTTAGGAAGGTGCTTCAGAAACTGAAAGAAGCCAATCTGAAGCTGAGTCTCGCTAAATGCAAATTGTTCCGAAAGGAAGTGACTTATCTGGGACATGTCATCTCTGCAGAAGGTGTACGCACGGATCCTGAAAAGGTATCAGCGGTTAAATCCTGGGCATGTCCCGAAAATGTCCATCAGCTGAGAAGCTTCCTAGGACTTTGCACCTACCATAGGAGATTCGTGAAGGACTTTTCTTCCATCGCAAGACCCCTTCACAAGCTGACAGAGAGCAAGCAAATGTTCTTGTGAACAAAACAATGCGAGGATGCATTTAACAACTCAAAGGAAGCTTTAACATCTTCTCCAATCCTGATGTATCCTCAGCTCGACAGACCATTTATTCTCGACATGGACGCGAGCAATGAAAGTGTCGGTGCGGTTTTGTCCCAAGAAATAGACGGCCAAGAACGTGTAGTGGCGTCCTAGAGCAAGTGCCTGTTTAAACTAGAGAGGAATTACTGTGTCACCAGGAAAGAGTTGCTCGCCATAGTCAAAGCTGTAGAACATTTCCATCATTATCTATACGGCAGAAAATTCCTCCTCCGCACGGACCATGCCTCATTGGCCTGGCTTTTAAATTTCAAGAATCCTGAGGGTCAAATAGACAGGTGGATACAGAGACTCCAAGACTATGACATCAC